CCTCTCGAGGATCATTTTGGCACACCCCTCTGCAGGGTCCTGCGCGATTCCATCGGAACCGTAGAGGGAGCCTATAGGATCCTTACAGGGTCCTGCACGATTCCATGGGAGTCCTATAAGGAGGATCCTGTAGGATCCTTACAGGGTCCTGCACGATTCCATGGGAGTCCTATAAGGAGGAACCTGTCGGATCCTTACAGGGTCCTGCACGATTCCATAGGAACACCCTATAGGGATCCCATAGGATCCTTACAGAGTCCTGCACGGTTCCATCGGAATTCTATAGGGATCCTATAGGATCCTCACAGGGTCCTGCACTACTCCATCGGAACCCTAGAGGGATCCTATAGGATCCTTACAGGGTCCTGCGCGATTCCACAGGAACCCTGGAGGGATCCTATAGGATCCTTACAGGGTCCAACAGGTTTCCATAGGAACCCCAGAGGGATCTTATAGGATCCTTACAGGGCCCTGCACGATGCCATAGGAACCCTATAGGGATCCGATAGGATCCTTAACAGGGTCCTGCACGATCCCATAGGAACCCTACTGGGATCCCATAGGATCCGCACAGGGTCCTGCACGATTCTATAAGAATCCTATAGGGGTATTGTAGGATCCTCACAGGGTCCTACAGGATTCCATCGGAACCCTATAGGGATCCGATAGGATCCTCACAGGGCCCTGCAGGATTCCATTGGAACTCTATAGGGATCCTATAGGATCCTTACAGGGTCCTGCACGATTCTATAGGAACCCTAGAGGGATCCTATAGGAACCTTACAGGGTCCTGCACGATTCCATAGGAGTCCTATAGAGGAGGAACCTATTGGATCCTTACAGGGTCCTGCACGATTCCATAGGAACCCTGGAGGAATCCTATAGGATCCTTACAGGTCCTGCATGATTCCATCGGAGTACTATAAGCAGGAACCTATAGGATCCTTACAGGGTCTTGCACGATTCCATCGGAACCTCAGAGGGATCCCATAGGATCCTTACAGAGTCCTGCACGTTTCCATAGGAACCCTAGAGGGATTCTATAGGATCCTTACAGGGTCCTGCACGATTCCATCGGAACCCTCGAGGGATCCTCTAGGATCCTGACAGGGCCCAACAGGTTCCCATTGGAACCTTACAGGGATCATATAGGATCCTTACAGGGTCCTGCACGATTCTATGGGAAGCCTATATGGGGTCCTCTAGGATCCTTACAGGGTCTTGCACGATTCCATAAGAACCCTAGAGGGATCTTATTTGATCCTTACAGGGTCCTAGGGTCCTGCACGATTCCATAGGAACCCTGGAGGGATCCTATAGGATCCTTACAGGGTCCTGCACGATTCTATAGGAACCTTACAGGGTCCTACAGGGTCCCATCGGATCCTTACAGGGTCCTACAGGATTCCATCGGAACCTTCATAAGGGCCCTATAGGATCCTCACAGGGCCCTGCAGGATTCCATCGGAACCCTTTAGGGATCCCATAGGATCCTTACAGGGGCCTGCACGATTCCATAGGAACCCTATAGGGATCCTATAGGATCCTTACAGGGTCCTGCACGGCTCCATAGGAATCCTATAGGGATCCCATAGGATCCTTACAGGGTCCTGTACGATTCCATAGGACCCCATAGAGGGGCCCTATAGGAACCTTACAGGGTCCTGCACGATTCCATAGGAGTCCTATAGAGGAGGAACTTATTGGATCCTTACAGGGTCCTGCACGATTCCATAGGAACCCTGGAGGGATCCGATAGGATCCTTACAGGGTCCTGCACGATTCTATAGGAACCTTATAGGGATCCCATCGGATCCTTACAGGGTCCTACAGGATTCCATAGGAACCGTAGAGGGGGGGTCTTCTAGGGTCCTGACAGGGCCCAACAGGTTCCCATTGGAACCTTATAGGGATCATATAGGATCCTTACAGGGTCCTGCACGATTCTATGGGAAGCCTATATGGGGTCCTCTAGGATCCTTACAGGGTCCTGCACGATTCTATAAGAACCCTAGAGGGATCCTATTGGATCCTTACAGGGTCCAGCACGATTCCATAGGAACCCTGGAGGGATCCTATAGGATCCTTACAGGGTCCTGCACGATTCTATAGGAACCTTATAGGGATCCCATCGGATCCTTACAGGGTCCTGCAGGATTCCATCGGAACCTTCATAAGGGCCCTATAGGATCCTCCTCACAGGGCCCTGCAGGATTCCATCGGAACCCTCTAGGGATCTTATAGGGGATCTTATAGGATTCTTACAGGGGCCTGCACGCTTCCATAGGAACCCTATAGGGATCCTATAGGATCCTTACAGGGTCCTGCACGGCTCCATAGGAATCCTATAGGGATCCCATAGGATTCTTACAGGGTCCTGCACGATTCCATGGGACCCCTAGAGGGGTCCTATAGGAACCTTACAGGGTCCTGCACGATTCCATAGGAGTCCTATAGAGGAGGAACCTATAGGATCCTTACAGGGTCCTGCGCGATTCCATAGGAACCCTAGAGGGATCCCATAGGATCCTCACAGGGTCTTGCACGATTCCATAGGAACCCTAGAGGGATCCTATAGGATCCTTACAGGGTCCTGCACGATTCCATAGGAACCGTAGAGGGATCCTGTAGGATCCTTACAGGGTCCTGCACGATTCCATCGGAACCCTATAGGGATCCTATAGGATCCTTACAGGGCCCTGCACGATTCTATAGGAACCCTAGAGGGATCCCATAGGATCCTTACAGGGTCCTGCACGATTCCATAGGAACCCTGGAGGGATCCTATAGGACCCTTACACGGTCCTGCACGATTCCATAGGAACCCTAGAGGGATCCTATAGGATCCTTACAGGGTCCGGCACGATTCCATAGGAATCCTATGGGGATCCTATAGGATCCTTACAGGGTCCTGCGCGATTCCATAGGAGTCCTATGAGGAGGAGGAGCTGGCCTCGCTGGCGCGTGGTCGGTTTTCGGACACAGGAGTGCGTGGGGAACAGTAAGGGAGCCAACGGAGATTCGGAAACACATATAGATTTTCGTTAGCGTATGACAGAGGTGTTGCGCGTTGCTCCCCCCCCCCCCGGGGCAACAACTGCAACGTGTGGCCTGGGGCAGTGCGCTCGCCCCGGGGGCGAGGACACACCCACGGGCCCCGCCGGGGTGGCCTGAGAGAGTGTCCTTGCGTTGTTGTTGTTGTTGTTGTTGTTGTTGTTGTTGTTGTTGATGTTGTCGGTTGTCATCACTCGTGGTCGCTCGTCGTTGTCGAACATTTTCGAATGCTTTCGAAGGCCTCTGGAGGCCTTTGGATGACCTCTGGAAGGCCTCTGGGGGCTTCCAGGGGCTTCATGAGGCCTCCGAAGGTCTCGTGGAATCTCCAGAGACCTCCAGAGGCGTCGCTCGTCGTCGTCGTCGCCGTCGTCGTCGTCGTCGTCGTGGCCGCTCGACGTCGTTATCGTCGTCGATCGTCGATTGTCGTCGTCGTCGCCGCCTCCGCCGCCGCCGCCGTCGTCGTCGTCGTCGTCGTCGTCGTCGTCGTCGTCGTCGTCGTCGTCGTCGTCGTCGTCGTCGTCGTCTCTATCTCTTCTCTCTCTCTTCTCTCGTCGCTCGTCGTCGTCGTCGCTTGTCGCTCGTCGCTCGTCGCTCGTCGTGATCGTTGTCGTCGCTCGTGGTCGTCGTCGTCGTCGTCGTCGTCGTCGTCGTCGTCGTCGTCGTCGTCGTCGTCTCTCTTCTCTCGTCGTCGTCGTCGTCGCTCGTCGCTCGTCGCTCGTCGCTTGTCGTCGTCGTCGTCGCTCGTCGTCGCTCGTCGCTCGTCGTCGCTCGTCGCTCGTCGTCGTCTTCGCTCGTCGTCGTCGTCGTCGTGCGCGCGGGCGATTTGGTGGCGTTGGAGCCGCACTGCGGGCGGGGGGTGTTGCGTTATGCCTCCCCCCGCCCTCCCCCAACTGCCCGTCGTTGTCGTCGCTCGTGGTCGTCGTTGTCGTCGTCGTCGTCGTCGTCGTCGTCGTCGTCGTCGTCGTCGTCTCTCTTCTCTCGTCGTCGTCGTCGTCGTCGTCGTCGCTCGTCGCTCGTCGCTCGTCGCTCGTCGCTCGTCGTCGTCGCTCGCCGCCGCCGTCGTCGTGCGCGCGGACGATTTGGTGGCGTTGGAGCCGCACTGCGGGCGGGGGGTGTTGCGTTATGCCTCCCCCCGCCCTCCCCCAAATGCCCGTGATCTCCGCGAGTAAAGAGACGCGCTCTTATCATATGTTCTTCCTGTGTTTGTTTCTGATATCACTACCGCTGGCCACCCCTGGCGACCCTTGTAGCAGTACTCCAGGGGTCGCTTGGCCTTAGTTTGATCAGCTTCCCAGGTCCGACCAGCCTTGGTGGGGGAGGCAACACCAAGCGGGACCTCATGACACCATGAACTATGAACCAATGGAGGAGAAGGAGGAGGAGGAGGAGGAGGAGGAGGAGGAGGAGGAGGAGGACGAGGAGGACGAGGAGGACGAGCGGCGCTGCGAACTCACGGAGGACGAGGAGGAGGAGGAGGAAAAGGGGGAGGAGGAGGAGGAGGAGGAGAGGAGAGGAGAGCAGGAGCTGAGGGAGGAGGAGGAGGGGAGGAGGAGAGGAGGAGGAGGAGGAGGAGGAGGAGGGGGAGGAGGAAGAGGAGACAAAGCACGCTGGAGGGCCTGGAATCACGACGAAAGGTCTTCCGCCAGTCTCGGCCTCCGTGGGCCCTTGTGAAGGGCTTCGGGGCCGTTGAACACTGACTCGGGGCGAAGAGCCGCCCCCCTAGGGAATTGGGGGTCGTGACTTGTGGGGGTCGACGCCACGGAACATTTCTGGACGTCTGGGGTCTTCGGAGGTGGAGCTCCCCCCCCCCTCCTCCCTTCCCTCCCTCCTCCCTCCCTCGCTCCTCCCTCCCTTCCAGCCCTCCCTCCCATCCCTCCCGTCCCTCCCTCCCTGCCCCCCTCCCTCCCTCCCTCCCCTCCCTTCCTCCCCGCCGCCCCCCGCTCCAGGGCCGCGCCCGGTGCGGCTGGCGGCAGCGTCTACGCGCCCCTGGCGGCGTGCGGCGCCGGCGCGGGGGCGCCGCCGCGCGGCGGCGGCGCTCCCGGAGGGCCGGCCGCGGCTCCGCCGCCGGCGCTCCCCGCCGCCGCCGGGCTGGGGCGCGGCCCGGGCGGCCGTGAGCTGCTCGCGCGGCGGGCGCCGTGCGCCTGCGGCTCGGAGGTTTCGGGCGAGGAGGAAGTCAGAGCCCCGAATCATCAGGGGTAACTCGGGTCAGGGATAACACGGGTTCGTTTTTCGGGAGTCCAAACCCGAGTTACCCCGGACCCGAGTTACCCCGGATAACTCGGGCGTCCAAGAGCCCCGAATCATCAGGGGTAACTCGGGTCAGGGATAACTCGGGTTCCTTTTTCGGGAATCCAAACCCGAGTTACCCCGGACCCGAGTTATCCCGGATAACTCGGGCGCCCAAGAAAGCTGTGCACGCGCACCGATCCTGACAGCGTCCATCCTCGGCCCAGGATCGGTGCATGTGCCAGGGGGCCACCTGCGAGCCCTACCCCTACGCCCCACGATTTCTGAGGGGGAGGGTGGGGTTCACTTCGTCCGGGGGGTAGGGGTAGGGGCAGGGTCAAGCTAGCCAGCTCGAGCGAGTCAAGTATGGCATGCCCATTTCCACCCGCCCTCCCACAACATAAGAAACAGCGATGGCACAACTGGGGGCTGCGCGGGCATTTCAGTGCGAGTGGAGGACACCCCTCGAGGCTTCGGGCTTCGAGGCTCCTCCCGGTTCGGGCTTCGAGGCTCCTCGGAAGCTCTCGCGGCTCTTGGGCCCACATCCCCGACGATCAGATTTTCTCCGTGCTGGCGTTTTTCCCTCGACTTCGCACGTTTTCCCTCGACTTCGCCCTCCAGGGAACGGTTTTTGGCCCCCCGGACCAATAATAACATATCCAGGACGCAAAACTGCTCCCGAGAAAGGGGTCGAGATCTCAGAAAGGCTTGGGACAAATTCGCCGGCCCAGCGGGCCAGAGGCGTGCAAAGATCTCCGGTAATTAGTTAATAATCTTCTAGTTCGCGCGCTCGGGGCGACCCCTGGGGGCCCCCGGACGAAAAGTACCCCGAGCAGGTCCCGGGCCAGCCCAAAGGGCCAGAGGCGTGCGAAGATCACTGGTAACTAGTTAACAGTATTCTAGTTCGCGCGCGCGGGGCGGCCCCTGGGGGCCCCCGGACGAAAAGAACCCCGAGCAGGTCCTGGGCACGTCGGTCCCAGCGATGGTTTTCTTCTTCGGCGCTGACTTCCAGGTCCCAGAGCGCCCCAGGAACGCCCCAAGAGAGCCGAGACGCCCCCGAGACGATCCGAGGGGCCCTGAGTCGCCGAAAGATCGTTCCAAGACGCCCAAGATGGCCTCCAGACGGCCGAAGATGCCGCCAAGAAACCGCGGGGAGCCTCAGGAGGCCCTCCAAGAGCCTGAACAAGCAAAAACCTCCCAGGCATTCGTCGCCCCAGGGCCTCCTGGAACGCCCCTGCGCCCGATGAGTTGGCGGGCTAAAAACGCGCGCCAACTTTGAGAAAATTTCGCTCGGCGCCCAAGCGGGAAGGTCATTTCATTCACTTCGAGCAGGGGGGGAGGGGGGTGCGCCGCGCCCAATTCTCGCCATGCACTTTTGCGGTGTGGACGACAAGAACAGCTATGTGGGCAGGGCAAATCAGCACGGCATTGTTTCTGACAAGTAAGGTGGCCCCTCCCGCCTTGGGGTTGCCCCAGAAGTCCGCGCGCGATGTGCGCCGCGCCCCATTCCTGCCACGCATTTCGCATCGTCGACGACAAGACAGGCCATGATGAAAGGAAAAACGGCACCTCTGCCTTATTTTTTACAGTCAGGATGGGGGAGCCAGCAGCCCGCATGGACGTCCGCGCGCGATGTGCGACGCGCCCCACACCTGCCACATATTTCGCACCGTCGGCGACCAGGCAGGCCATGCTGAGAGGAAAAAGCTAGGACTTTGTATTGATTTGTTACAGTCAGGATGGGCGGGCCCGGATTGACGGCCGCGCGCGATGTGCGCCGCGTCTCATATGCGCGCAGCGTCCCATTGTTGCCGCTTGTTGCCACATATTTCGCACCGTCGGCGACAAGACAGGCCATGCTGCGAGGAAAAAGCGAAGACTTTGTATTGTTTTTTTCAGTCAGGATGGGCGGGCCCAGATTGACTGCCGCGCGCGATGTGCGCCGCATCCCATTCTTGCCACGCTTTTCGCATCGTCGACGACAAGGAAAACGATGTTGAGAAGAAAAACAACAATTTTGTATTTTTTTTATAGTCTGGATGGGATGTCCCGGATTGGGTTGCTATCGGCCGGGCTACGAGGTAGGTGGGGGTATGTAATAATAAGGAACAAGGATTCGCATTTCTGACGGACGAAGTGAACCCCACCCTCCCCCTCAGAAATCGTGGGGGGTAGGGTTTGCATGTGGCCCCCCTATATACCTTCCTGGCCAAGGCAAGAGGGCGTATGCACCGATCCTGGGCTCAGGATGGGCCTGGCCAGAATCGGTGTGTGTGTGTGTGTGTGCATAGGTTTTGTTTCACCTAAAGGTGTGCGGCGCGGGCCAGCTCTGCGACGAGCTCGTGGGCGCGTGCGGCGCGCCGAACCGCAGGCTGCAGCCCAGAAAGAAAACGGACACCTCGACGTCCGCAACGACGACATCGTCATTCGCAACGACATCACTAACGACGGATACCACGACATTCGCAACGACATCACTGACGACGGTTACCACGACATTCGTAACGACATCACTGACGACGGTTACCACGACATTCGTAACGACATCACTGACGACGGTCACCACGATCGCCGCCCAGCTATGTTCAATTAGGTGGGAGTCGCCCACGCCGTCGCCCGTGCCAGCTCCTGGTGATGCGGTGACCGTGTCGGTGAGCAGCAGTGCGAGTTGGGACGACACCAATTATGGTATCTCTTGTACGGATCAATTTGGCCAACCCTTGAATTATATACGCGCCGGGAATGTTTCTCGGGAGACCGAGAATGTCGCCACGGTGACTTACACTTGCGTGCTTAGTGATAACACTCCAGTGCCTCTGTATTGCGATGGCTTTGTCACAGACCAGCCCGCACCCACCCCGCAGAACTTCCTAACCCGCACAGTCAACGTCAGGGACCAGGTCAAACTAGTCGACAACAGAACATATTACGCCTGGTACGACGAGTGTAGCAGCTCGGGCAACCGACGACGACGAAGCTGCAAGTCCCCTGAAGACCCTGCGCTCTTCGGCGACGACTGGGCCGACGCGAAGGCCAATTCTAATTGTATCTCTGACAACGACTTCCACGGCGATGAGGACTTGGTCGAATTTTGGTTCTCCGACGGTACGAATCAAGAGCTCGACGATACTTACAGCCACACTTGCTCATGGTGCAGCACCGGCAGCCTCCCGCACACTGAGACAGTCTCGTACACGTGTCGTCGGCGGTCAACGACCATTACGCGGGAGGCAATCCCCTTCTTATGTTTAGTTTGTTTCTCTTGTTTTTTTCTGAGCCCGCAGAGTGGGGGCCATGGGTGCTCAAGCGAGGCTACCTTGAGACGTCATTAGGGTTCGCTTGAGGCAATTGGGGTGAATGAGGCACGAAGTGCATGTGTGATGTGCCAAGTGAGGCTTCCCTCGGCCGTCTTGGGGACCTCTTTGGAGCCACCTGACGGCCTCTGGAGGTCCATGGGCCACGAAGTGCACGAAGGACTTGCCAGATTGAAGCCTCCTGAGCTGTCTTGAGGGTTTAGCTGAAGGCCTCTGGGGTCCACGAGGCACGAAGTGCGTGAGGGGTGTGTCGAACTGAAGCTTCCTTCGGGCGTGGTTGGCCATCTGAGCGCCAGTGGAGGTGCCTGTTGCGCGGACTGTGTGAGGGGTGTGCCACATTGAGGTCCCATGTCTTTGAACCATCTTGCGGCCTGCAACCCGTTGGTCCCCTTTCTTGGGCCACTCTTGGGCCGCTCTACGGGTCCTCTTTGGGCCCTCTTGAAACTCTGTCGGGGCTCTCTTGCCTTCAGGGACCTCCCTGGAGCCCCTGCCACCTCAGATCCTGAGGAAGCCACATATTGAGACCACGTTGCTTCAACCGTGCTTGTAATCAACCTTCCTTGGTTGGGTACGCGGTTCGAACACAGCACTATTATTGTTGCTGCTCCGCCTCCTTCTCTTTTCTCTTCCCGCTTTCTCCCCTCCTCCTTGGTGTCGTTTCTGCACCCTCTTCGCATAGTCGTCACTCCTTCTTACCCTTGGTCCTCCTTGAGGGGTGTCACTTGTGCAGCTGGCGCCGCTTCCGTGAACTAGCGGAGTGCGGTCATACCCATACCCAAGTTAGACCTCGCGACGTTGGCGTGGTACAAACTGCGCAATGCTTATGTGAGCTTGAGCTGGATGTCCAGCGGAGAGATCGCCTAGCTTTCTCTGGCGTCCCCCCCTTCGCATCCGTCGCCACTTGAACGGTGTTGTGGGGGGTCAGCGGAGTGCGGTCTCATTCAGCCCGAAATAGATTTCGCGTCCGTGGATTGTGCCAATTGCTCCTTTGTCGCCACTTCCGTGATGCGGTCTTATCCAGGCCCAAATTAGACTTCGCCTTCCTGCGTGGTGCAAAATCTTGGCGCTTCGTATATGCCCCACGCGCCCATCCAGAACCGCTCGCCAGAGGTGTTGCCCTAATGAGGGACGTGTAGAAGCACGCAGAGGAATAGCTGCAGTGGAAGCGTGCAGCGCAGGAAAACAAGGAGGATGGGGAGGCGGCTTTTGCAAATATGTTGCGATGAAGGGCTCTTGGAGGACTCTTGGAGCCGTGTTGTAGCCCCGTTGGGGTCCCTGTGGGATCTCTTGGGGCCTTCTTGAGGCGCTCTTGGAGCTTTTGGGGAGCCTCTCGGGGCTCTCTTGGGGCTCTTCGGGGGGGCTCTTGGGACCCCTCTTGGAACGGACAGTGGACAGTCTTGGGCCCCATAGCCAATAAACAAGGACGGGCTGAACTACCCCCCCTCCTTTCGGAGGCCACAGTCTTGTCAAATTCAAAGGGGACATCATAGTGGTTTGTTTCTCTCTTGGGCAATCTACGCTCGAACAATCATTGCGTTTTGTTCCCAACTAGCCTGCGGCGTTAGGTCCTCGTTTTGAAGAGACAGCGACCCGCGTTCCTCTCCTCTCTTCCTCCCCCCCCTCCTCCTCCCTCTCCTCCCTCCTCCCATCCGCCTCGTCACCTCCCTGCGTTTCACCCACCCAGGACAGCGCTTCGTGGCCCCATAGGGAGCTCCACCGAAGGCTCCAGTGGCAGGGTCCGCATGCGTCACCGCCGCCCAGGCCAACGTTTCGTGGCCCCATAAGGGGGCTCCACCGAAGGCCCCAGCTGCAGGTGTTGCATGCGTCCCCCCGCTGATTTCGGCACACCCCTCACGAGGATCGTGGCCCCATAGGGAGCTCCGCCGAAGGCCTCAGCGGCAGGGTTCGCATGCGTCTCCCCGCCCATTTCGGCACGCCCCTGACACGCTTCGTTGCCTCACAGGAAGCTCCACCGAAGGGCCCAGCGGAAGGGTTCGCATGCGTCCCCCCGCCCATTTCGGCACACCTCTGACACGCTTCGTGGCCTCACAGGAAGCTCCACCGAAGGCCTCCGGGCAGGGTTCGCATGCGTCCCCCCGCCCATTTCGGCACACCCCTTAAGATGATCGTGGCCCCATAGGGAGCTCCACCGACGGCCCCAGCGGCAGGGTTCGCATGCGCCCCCCCCGCCCGTTTCGGCACACCCCTCACACAGTTCGTGGCCCCATATGGGGGCTCCACCGAAGGCCCCAGCGGCATGGTTCGCATGCGTCCCCCCGCCCATTTCGGCACACCCCTCGCAGGTTACGTGGCCCCATGGGGAGCTCCGCCGAAGGCCCCAGTGGCAGGGTTCGCATGCGTTCCCCCGCCCATTTCAGCACACCACTCACGAGGATCGTGGCCCCATAGGGAGCTCCACCGACGGGGCCAACGGCAGGCTTCGCTTGCGTCCCCCCGCCCATATCGGCACACCCCTCACGGGGATCGCGGCCCCATGAGGAGCTCCACCGAAGGCCCCAGCGGCAGGGTTTGCATGCGTCCCCCCGCCTATTTCCGCACACCCATCACGAGGATCGCGGCCCCATGGGGAGCTCCACCGAAGGCCTCCTGGCTGGGTTTGCATGCGTCCCCCCCGACCATGTCGGGACCTTCCTCCCGAGGATCGTGGCCCCATAGGGGGCTCCACCGAAGGCCCCAGCTGCAGGTGTTGCATGCGTCCCCCCGCTGATTTCGGCACACCCCTCACGAGGATCGTGGCCCCATAGGGAGCTCCGCCGAAGGCCCAAGCGGCAGGGTTTGCATGCGTCCTCCCGCTCATTTCGGCACATCCCTCACGAGGATCGTGACCTCATAGGGAGCTCCACCGAATGCCCAAGCGGCAGGGTTTGCATGCGTCCCCCCGCCCATTTCGGCACACCCCTCACGAGGATCGTGGCCCCATAGGGGGTTCCACCGAGAGCGGTGCCCACAACGCGGTACTCACAGCTGCATATGGTTGGGTCCTTCGCCAGGCTCATTCTCTCTTGGGCACTCTTTGACGCCCCACCCCCTCGGGCCCCCTCCCCGTCCAGAACCAGGGAAGGGGCTTTTGGGAAGGGGCCAAGACGCCCTCCCCGCCCACGAGCCGTCTCGCTCACTCCCACCCGCCCTCCCAACACGGAAGCAGAACTCGAGCCGCAGAGTGTTCAGCGGTTGTCGCTCCCCCTCATTGGTAATTCAAGCTTCGCGCGGCCCGCTTAGCTTCGACCGGAAGAGGTGCGCTCTCGACCCGCGAATCAAAAGTGTTCAGCGGTTGTCTCTGGATGGACAGCTGACGTGAAACCACAACAGACCCCACGTGCGCAGCGCTGGGCCAGGCGGCAGGCGCCGGCGAGGTGCGCCGGGCGTGCCGGGCGCGCCACGCTCACCAGCTGCGCCGGGCACCCCCACTGCGCCACGCGTGTCGGGCACGCCCGGTACGCCAGGTGCGCCACGTGATCCACGTGCTCCGCGTGTGCCGCGCGTTTTCGCGCGGCCCGCTTGGCTTCGACCGGAGGAGGTGCGCTCTCGACCCGCGAGTCAAACAAAAAGTGTGCCGCGTGCTTCAGTCGCGCCAGGCGCGCCATGTTGGGGCACGCGCAGGGTGCGCCAGGCGCGCCTGCGCACGCGACAGCACACGTCGGGAAGCGATTTGGCCCCCACCACCCTGGTCGAAAACCAGTGCGCAATCGCGGTGGGGTGGCCATCATAGCGTTTGGTGGGCCTGCATGCCAGCACCCACGCCGTCCCAATCAAAAACCAATGCACAGTGATCGCGGGGTGCCCGTGCATGATCCAGATTTTGTCTCGAAGTGCATATTGTATGGTTTTGATGTGGAGGCAAAGTGTGTGTGTGTGCATGTTTGTATTATTTGTTGTAATGGATGGTTGGCCTGCGCGCAGCAAGCAATGTGCCGGCGCCTTCGCCGTCCTTGTACATTCATTTTGGTAAAGAACCCAACCACATGCAGTGTTGTGGGTACCGCTATCGATGGGAGCTCCTTATGGGGCCACGGAACGCGTGAGGGATGTGCCGTAATGCGTCGGGGTGATGCATGCGGCCTCGGGCATTGGGGTTTTCGGTGGAGCTCTCCCTGGGGCTACGAAACGTGTGAGGGGTATGCCAGAATCGGTATGGGAGCCACATGCAGCCGCGGCCATTGGGGTCTTCGGTGGAGCTCCCGATGAGGCAACGAAGCGCTGTAATGTGCGGGGGGGGGGGGCGCGTGCGGCCCCAGCCACTGGGGCCTTCGGTGGAGCTCCGTTCGGGGGCCACGAATTGCCGTACTGGGTGGGGGAGGCGTATGCGGCCGCGGCCACCTTGGGCTTGCGGTGGAGCTCGCTACAGGACCAGGAAGCGCTGTATTGGGTGAAGGGACGCATGCGGCCGCGGCCAATGAAGCGGCCGACGTACGTGTTTTCCAAGTGCACCCGTCGTACGTTCGCTTAGCCAATTGCATTCATAATTTAGCGCGAAAATCGCCAACTCGCCACCATATTCATTTTGGACAGTGTTTCAATCTTCTACTTGTATGGGGACATGCCCGATTTCGCCCGAGATGGCTTCGAATGTGGTCCTCGAGGCCACCAACATACCCACAACGGGCCGCAAGACGTCATCCGCGCATGCCCCCAGGAAGCGCCGCAAACACACAAGCACACACAACACACACAACACAGCACACAACACACAACACGCACACACCACACAAAACACAACACACAATTACTCCGACGGAAGGACCCCACATGAGAATCCTCTGAGCGAATCTGGGAAAAACCGTCACCGTCGTCCTCGTGGTTCGTGAGGCGTCCTGGCTGTCTCTTCTGCGTATATTTCTTCTCGCCCTGGCGCGGGCCCTCCCCCCGCTCCTTACGTTGCCCCCGACCTCGCCCTC